CTCCAAGAACTCCATTCAAAAAACTGCTAGCATTTATCTACCTGGGGCTGCCTTTGAAGTTGGCCTGAAAATTGCAGCTGTTCCAGAGGGCAATAGTTGAAATGTTAAGAGAGAGGGCCTTTCAAAATTGCTTCCCTGGAGCCCAGAACCTAACTAGATACTTTCTTCAACCTCATTCAGCCAGATGCTAAGGTCACTTTCCGGCCTTTCTGTATATTTTAAATGTTGGCCTTTTTAAAAACTAATTCACATATGTTACTTAGTCTCTTAAAAGTGGACTCACTGCAAAAATTATGTAATTATTTTAATCAATATAACCCAATTTGAGATCAGTGAAGGGTGGATTTTAAAAAAGCTTTAAAATGCATAGAAAGTTTTATTTTTAATTTCTAAATCACCAATTTGGGTCTTATTTCCAATGCTCTGAGTTTATAACTGAATTTGCTCAGCATGCAATGAAGTTAAGCATTAGAAGGACAGAATAGGGAAAAGCTGTAATCATGGTCTAAAAATTATTTCTGGAGGTACTAGCCATTTTTGTATTTCTCTCATTGGAGCCTAAATTGTTAATCTATAGCTTAGAAAATTCACTAGTACAGCTACAAAACTTTATCCAGTCCAACATCAACAGACTGTTGCCAACCTTTTAAATTATGCCAAATGTCCTCACAATGCCTACACTGGGTTCAGTAGTAGGAAATAATTGGGAAGACTAAAGAAAATTGAGTAGCACCTAAAACAGCACTGAGAACTATTTCAGTAATCTCAAAACACGAGACTACAAGTAAGGTTTATAGTTGCAAGAAGTACAATTATTTATTTATTAGAAACACATTTATACACCTCAGATTTAAGCTAATTGATATGTCACAAATGAAATACACAAAAAGTAAACCTTCCCTCAATCTGAGCCAACTTCTTGATGACTTTGTAAACAGATCCATGAAGGTTTATTGACAACACTGCAGATATGTTTACTTCCTAATTTAGCCTATCTCCTATCTCAGAAGCCACCTTCACCTGCTTTGCTTCCAAATTCAAAGCTGGCTAAGTACCACCACTTATTACAAAACTTCATGATCAAATTGTTGTTTAATAAAACTGCAGAGGGGTAAATCTAGATGAACCAATATCACCTGTAGGGAATCTCCCCCCAAAAATTCAAGATAGTGGTAATAAAAAAGAAACTTCAGTCCTTTTATACATGTGTGCAATGCAAAAAGGGAAAAGCTTCCATTGTGACATACTTCTAACATCTTTTTACGTTTATTTAATTTCACATGCATGAATATTGTTTTATCTATTTATTCATATCCCTTTGTTATTTTTATAAATAACTCAAAACAGCAAACATACCCAATATTCCTTCCTCCTTTTTCCCTAAAACAATAACACTGTGAGAAATTTTCTTGCTGCAAATATATATAATTTCCAAAAAACATAAAGGATTCTTAGTTTAAGTTGTAAAAGTAATCCCTCATAAATTTTTACCTTTTTAATTACTTTTAGCTTGTTCTCTAACTTTGATTTAAGCTTTGATCTTTGATTTGATGCTTATCTCTGTGGCTTGGGCCTAGGAATTTCCAGTGGCTCCAGGGATGCGATTGAAACAGTGTAACAACTGGTTCGGTGAACACGCACTTCATGTACATGCAGAGCATTTGCTACTGACCTTCTCCAGTAATCTCTCTGTGTTAAACAGCTGGTGTGCAGCAATCCACTGTGCTGCATGAATTAGCTGAGCTTGAAAACCAGGAAAGCACAGACTAGAACTGGGGAGGGCAAGTGGGCCCAACAGTTGATCATCAGAGTGAACTGATTCACTCACAGCTGATCCACTAAGCTATCAGTTCACCCAAACTGGGCCAAACTGGTAGAATCCCACCCTGACTGGCTATCTTAGGCAGGATAAATGATGCCAAATTGCCCATGAAAACTACAGTCATTTCTTTTTAACATCTCTACACACATAAACATCTAATGATACATAACATTATGCCATCATACTCAGTGGATGCTACTTGCCAAAACTGGACACAGTACAGTGACATCACAGCTTTCATATTGTCATTGAGAAAGCTTTGTCACAAAGAATGTTTCAACTAGTCTGACTGGAAGCACCAATATCCAGTAAAACACCCAATCTATCCTAGGATACAAAACACGTATTAAGCAGTGTTTTCTTGAAAGGGTTGTATCCTAGGGCAGAATCTGTTAGTAACCAATGCCCCCAGTTCTAATGTGCCTTGTTCCAGATATTCTTTCTTTCATTAAGGCAGACTGATAAAGAAAAACAAAAGCAAACATCTACTTCTTATAGCAGTGTAGGTATGGTTTACAGATAGTATGGAGAAATTGTTGCTGAGTTACAAATTCCACCAGTACTCATCACTGGTCTTGCTGGCCCAGCTTGCTTAAAGATGTAGCTCTGGAGGGCCATGGTTTCCCTACTGTAGGAGATAACCAGGCTGAGCCCAAGGGATGGGTCAAATGCATCATCATTCAGGAGTCCCCGCATGCCCATAAAAGATCTGTCAGACCCACCTTAATTTCTTTCTATTGTTAACTCCTGTTAATTTCCCTTGACTGTTACTAGTTCAGATTCTTGTAGAGAGCTTACAATAAATCTTTATACACATTTGAACTGCCTGATTTCCCTGGTGCTTGACATCCCTGCTTGTTCTGAATAGCAAGAATGACTGAATGACTAGTGAGAACTTTGGCAGGGAGTGGATTTGACAAGGGATGAGAGAATCACTGAGGATATCTTGCTCAAGAATCTTCTTTCTCAAAACCAAGGGTTGTTATCTTGTGAAATTATTTCCACATGCTTTCCACTGCATAAAGGAAGAATGGGTTGCTCACGCCACTGGGAGTTTAATGATGCCAATATGCAGAATAATCTCTTTTTCTTTCTCTTTCTCCATAGATATCTTCTTCTTCTGCATGTGTGCTTTAGGTCATGAGATGGCAGCTTCCCAACTTTCAAGCTCAGCCCCCAAGAATTTAGCCTATTTACTGTACAAATAAATGGATTTTATCTTTTGGCGCTAGACTTTTTTTTTTAACCTGAGTCAGGATATTATTTTAATGAAATCCAAACCCATAAGGTCTCCCTCTGATTAGGATGGCAAGCATGACCAATTAAGTTAGACCTGGCAATAAAACACATGAGAAATGCAAGCATAGACGCTCTCTGAGTGACAGGAAAGGGAGCGGCAAGCCCAGCAATCTTTAGATCACAAGCATGGTTTATTTTGGGCAACATCCATTATGATCTGATCTCACTTCTCATCTTATCACAATGGGAACAGGAAGGGATCATTTCATGGCTCATTGTTACAAAGAAGAAATGTAACAAAAGTCAAGCTCCTTAACAATCAGGCTTTCCTGTAAGTTTTTGCAGATATGTGGCATGGGCATAATTGAATATGACAATCAGCATATTAAAATATTTTCATGCCAGCAAAGTGATATCAATTTGTCTTAAAATAATAAGTAGTGTAACTATAGAGGGAACTCCTTAGTACTGTAGTGCTCTTTGTTTTAATTACTCTAATTGCAACCTCATTCTTGTCACTTCTAGACCCAAAGGGTGCTTTTTCAAAAAGCAGCTGGATTTTGTTTTTTCTTGAAGATGTTTTACTTCTCCTCCAAGAAATTTCTTTAATTCTGACTGAATGGTGGAGGATGAAAGGATTTACATTACTTGCAGTTAACTGGTCATTAGCACTCTTTCTTTTCAGTGGCCCTCAGGATCACCTCAATTCTGCAAATGGGTGTGCAATGATCAATGTTTCAGCTCATTAAGATATCACCTATTTTCTGTTTACAACATAGTCCTTTCAGCAGCTGCAAGAAAGTTTCACATTCATTTGAATTATTCAGGTGACCCTGAGGGCCCAGATAAATCTCCAAGGGGGCTTAATGACTCTCAGAAAGAGTGCTAACAATCAGATGACTGCAAGGAATATAAACTCTTCCATCCTCCACCATTCAGTCAGAATTGAAGAAGCTTCTTGGATGAGAAGCAAAAGGTCTTCAAGGGAAAACAAAGTCCAGTTACCTTTTGAGGAACCACCTTTGGGACAACCATGACCTGAATGACTGACAATCTCTATAGATATGTCACTTCTAGAGTTTCTATAACATAGACTGACATAACATTGCATTAACTCCATTCATGCATATAGGATGGTTCCATCCAGCCAATTTTGCCATGGGAACATAACCTCAGTGTTCCTATGGCAATGGATGACAGGCTTACTGGAAGTACCCATTGATTGGGTGGAAACATTGGTTACTTTTCTGTTTCAATTTCAGAAAAAATCAAAAAGTTATTTCTTTTCCATCAAATCAAATGGTTAAAAAGTCCAAATGTTGATAACCTCTCAAAGAAAGAAAAAATGGTAAATTACATTACAGCTGACCAGTTATCCACTCACTTTGACTAAAACTATGCATTACTATTCTACAAAGAGCTAGTATTTTCTGTGACCCTCCTGAGTCTGTAAGTGTTAGTTAGACTACAGGTAGTCCTCAACTTATTATCACAATTGACCTCCAAATGTATGTTGCTAAGTGAGACATTTGTTCAGTGAGCTTTGCCCCATTTATGACCTTTCTTGCCACAGTTAAGTGAATCATTTGTTAAAATTAGTAACATGGTTGTTAAGTGAATCTGGCTTCCCCATTAACTCTGCTTGTCAGAAGGTCACAAGATTATATGACTCCCAGACACTGCAGCCCTCATAAATATAAACCAGCTGCTAAAACCATCTGAATTTTTAACACGGGACCATGACGATGCGGCAATCGATGTAAGTGTGAAAAATGGCCATAAGTCACTTTTTTCAGTGCTGTTGTAACTTTGAATGGTCACTAAATGAAGTGTTGTAAGTTGAGAGCTATCTGTACATTTCATCATTGCAGCAAACAGGCAGCAGTCCTACTTTACTGTTTACTGATTTAACATTAAGGCACTGAAACCAACATCTTACCTTCTGATAATTTGGAGGACGTATGAACAGAGTTGGGATCCACGTCTTCATCAGGCTGGTAATGATAAAGTGTTTGAGATTGTTTGGGGGCTATCCAGTTACGGTCTTCTTTCAAAGCAATCAGTGATGATGGTGTCGGATTAAATTTGACTTCAGGGAAGTTATCTCTTTTGGATTCCTTGAAATCTAATGATTTGGGTACTTTTAATTTCTGGTCTTTTTTCATGTTTAGTTTGATTCTAAAATGGGGATTTTCTCCTTGCTCAATTTTCTCATGGTTGATCGCATTTTGTCTCTCCACTTCCAGCCCATTCTGGGGTGTCTCAGTTGTTGCCATGACTTCTTCCTTTAACACACTACTTGTAGTGGTCATCTTATGTCTTTGTGGTGCTTTGGTTGCTGATACTGTGCTTGTATTCATCCTGACCTTGCTATTTTCATGGTTGTTCCTATTTTCCAGATGATTTAGGAGAGGGATATTTGTGCTGGTTGGTTGCTGCATTGCTGGGTCTGAAATAGACTGAATCAGTGAAGGGGGAGTAACACTGCTTGCAAGGTAGTCATAATCCTCACTTTGTTCTTGGCCTATGCTCTCTTGTTCCAACTGGGCTGAAAAGCTGTAGTACTTTTTGGGTGGCTCCACCTGAGTGGTGTCTCCTTCTGGTGCCTCTTGGTCATAACTGTAGGGATCATCATAGTGTTGCTCCGCTTCCATGGTATCAGATGGATTAGGGGAGGTTAACGTAGATTCATTACAATCTGGGAGCTGATAGCACATGAGGTCACCACCAGAATTAGGGCAATGGCATACTTTGCATGTAGGCATGTGGAATGTATGTCCTGCAGCGTATTTCTGGTCTTCGTGGACACAGCCTATTCTTCCACATTGGGGACATCCATCTGCTGGTAGAACAGCATCAATGCAGTTTTGTGGAAGGTCTGGACATAACATAAACTGGCAGCTGATTTTACCCCCGCCTTTGGGACAAGAACATTCTGTGCTTCCAAAGTCGACCAAATAGGACTGTCCTTCAGGCACTTTTCCGTTGACAAAGCCTACATTCACGCAGTCATAGTACTGGTATCCTTCGCAAGTACAACCATGCTGCAGACAAGAGGCGCAGCATTCTCCAGGCTCTAGAACTTCTTCAATGCAGTTTTCTGGCTGCTTACACTCCACCCCTGTGCAATCCTTCTGTGCTGTTGCAATGCCAGTCCAAATAAGCGCCAAAAGGACAGTGTTCATACAATGTAAGTGGGACATTTGGTGCCTATCCATAATCTTCCTAAATATATTTGGCAAGCATTCAGTTTTTCTAATCTTTTATGGGCTTCTTTTTCTTTCTTTACTATCCTCTTGAACTTCTTGTTCATCCAGCTCTTGGTCAGAAATATTTCCCTGGATCCTGTTTTGGAACTAGAGCCTAGGTTTATGAAAGAGAACTTTGTTAAGTACTATACTTCACACATATCCTGGTAAACCTTAGATATATTTTTAAAAATGGATAAAGCTCCAATATCCGGAGACTGACATAAAATTAATCATAATCTTCATCCAACTGTAGACACCAATGTTCAGACTACATTTTAAAAATTACTTTTCTTACTTTCTTAAATTTCTTATTCTTACTTTTAAAAAAAGATTTAAGAAATGTCTCTTTCTCTACTTATAAAACAAACACCAAGTAAAATAAAAAGCAAGTTTTTATAATGGTACTTCTTTTAACAGGTTTAATATTCTTGGGTACCTTTTTCTTAGTTCTAACTTTTAAAATAATTCTTGACAAAAACAGACAATTCTTTCTCATACTGATCTTAGTCTGAATGTATTTTAGCAGTATATCTCTTTCTGTTTTCTGATGGAGGTATGAATGGCAAGATAGCATCAAAATATTAATTAGTTTTGAATTTGGGCCCAATAGAGTCTGAATTTAACTTGAAAAGTTGTATTCCACCCCCCAAAAAATTTTCTCATCTCCAATTTAACTTACTTGCAGTAAATGTCCATTGCAGGACTTCTGTGAAGCACTAACTGCTGTAATGAGCAAGCATGGGATGATATGTGGTCACCAGGAACCATAAGAAAGACCTGCAATGAAAGTAGCAATATTAGGAATCAGGAAAGTATTTTCTGAATGTCATTACACCTAACATGAGTGTTTATCACTAAAGTATTATTGGGAGCATAGAAGAGGCAAAAGTTCATCTGGTTTGCTCTAAAAATCATTTGTCTTTAGTGTTGAACACAAAGCATTTCTTTGAGTCCTTTTTCAATCTTGTAGGTCAAGTGGAATATCGCTATTTTTGTAAAGATCGGGCACTGTTATGTTCTTACTCAGAACATTTGTTATTATTTCCTGTGGTAGTCAAAGAATAAAGTAAATGACCGTACAGCAACACATCTCAATGGGAGGTCAATATGTCATGTAGAGTCAGGGAAACAAATTATTTCTACCTACTTCTGCTATGATGTTGAAAGTGAAACTCTGACCCTTACAGTTCTGGACATCTCTGTTGGAAAGACTGGCTCCACTGCGTATTAACTGGGGAAAACACCATGGCTATGCCTGAGATGCTTTCCTTTATCACTCATAAAACATAAAGTTACTATTAAAGTTCTTTGCAACAATCTTTTTTTTTAAATTTTCACTTTTCAAACATTGGACACCCACATAAGAATACGCATTTAGCCTCAAATGCACACACAAATCCTATGTACCAGAATATACGAAGGTAATCTCATAGCAAAATCTTCATATTAACATATTTATAATATTTCTATCTTCTCTCAATTCCTGGTATCTCTCATTAAGCCTAGTAGTCCTTGATCTGAATTGAACATGCGATTGATACATTTCAACTTATTTTATTCATGATATTACAATGCTATTTTTTAAAAACAAAACCCCATGATGTCTAAGGACAGGAAGATTTCTTTTGTCATGAACATAAAAGATTTCCTACCCATAGTTGTGGATGATGTGAATAAACCCCAATTACAGTGATTTGTTAAAAAAATATCACTTCTACGTATGCTCTCAAAAACCTGAGAACTTGATATACCAAAATGCACCTACATTTTTTACAATTTTAGTTAAAAATCTAATGATCATCTTATCCATGGATGGGCTGATACAGAAGTATATCTGGTACAGGAATCATGGTCCTAACTCTTAATTTGTTCTGAAAATGGTGTGGCATAACAACAGTTATTTAAAATATGCTTTTAGGATATAAAGTATGTCACTTGATAATGTAGTAGGTCTCTGTAAATCAACCCTAATTAGATACATAGCTACAAAATTGAAAATGAGCAAAAGAGTTTCATTTGAGCTACTTCAAGCTTTGATTTCAATATTTGTTCATTAGCTAAAATGGGAACCATCACACAGAATCGGGTAAAAATATAAAGAATAATCCTATGCAGTAGTGGTTCTCAACTTGTGTCCACAGACCCTTGGATACTATGATGTCATCACAGGAGGTCCATGAAGGATTGAAGAAATGTTATGATTTAAATCTTGAGTTAAGCCTTGGGAATTCATGGCAATGGTCCATGGCCACAAAAGTATTTAGGGTCCGTGGTGAAGAAAAGGTTGGGAACCAGTGCTATATAGCAAAAGTTTCCAAACCCCTTTTTTAAGTTCACATATTCCAAACAGTATTGCCACTGAAACGTATTCCCATGGGCTTGTCTAAGTAAAAAGAAGTGTTGCTTGAGAGGGTTCCGACTATACTCAATCTGTTCACTCCAACCCACCTCCTTATTTGCTTATTCCCAGGCTTTCCTTCCATTAGCCATAGATGTACAGCTAGAAAGACAGATTGGCAGGTGAGCTATTGGGGGCTCTCAGGGACTTGGAGAGCCCGCAAGAACCTCAGAAAGACAAGCAGCAAGGGAAAGCTCTTAATAGGCTTAATTGAACTGCCGGGTGTTCAGCCAAGAGCATTTCACACCTTGTAAAAGTGTTGCAAGCTAGATAAACAATCCATTCAGCACTTGCAAGGGAGAGCCATTGAGAAAATCAAATAATATAGCCACTAGAAACTCCCTGCCTGGCCTCCAAGGAGATTAATTCCCAAATAATAAGAATCACATAACTCAGCAGGAACTCTAGTAAGACTTCAAGATCGCTCTCACAGTCACTGCTATTAAGCCTGGTTTTACCCAGTCTTTTAATGAAGTATTAAATGCATGAAATAATAAACAACTTTTTGGTATATATCTTTTTTTAGGTAATTGGGGCAAAGAAGTGACATTGAGTTGGTCACACCCACCCAGTCACATGACTAATGAGCCACGCCCATCCAGTCACATGACCACCCAATCACATGACCACCTAGCCATGCTCACCCAGCCATATGACCAACCAGCCACACCCACCCAGCCAGTCATTAGAAGCCCACCTTGTAGATGGGGTGTATTTTGTATTTTCTTTCGTTTTTTTGTAAATTTTATTTGAGTTTTCACAAAGAAAAAAAAATACAAATAAAACATCTTTTTTGAAAGTAGCGTAATCCCGGGTTACATTTCTTTGTATAGACACAAATTTGACTTCATGCTCATTTTTATATTCTATTCCATATCTTATTACTATTTCACATTTTCAGCATAGCTTCTCCCCTCTTTTAATTTTCTCAATTTTATTTTAATTATCTCATCTCAATTCAAATCATTATATTTATATTTTTTGTCTGTCCTGTTTCAATTATCTATTAGCTTTTTTTATTAAACAAAATTTCTCCTGTAGTTGGAGTATGACGCCTTTATATCTTTTAAGTTTATCCATTTAACTCTTATTTAGGCTTCAATATATACCCTAAAGTTATAACATTCAATATAATACATAACTTCCATTCGGATTCTGCTTGGTACATTTTTAAAATACACACTATATTCTTAAAAAAAGAAAAAATTATAAATGTATGTAATTAAAACAACACATTCCATTCCAATTCAATTCTATCATTAATATTAATATTCATTAAAATCTTAACTTCATTATCATTAACTTTTCAATTAAATATCATACTTCTGTGGGAACAATTGTAAGCTTTCCATCATTAATTCTCCCCCCCCTTCACTTATATTTTATAAAACATTATCTAATTAAGATGTTCCCGTTCCTTCCTAATTCAATTTACCCATTTATTTTATTTCACTTATTTTATTAACAAACATTTCACTAAATTACACAAACTATTTTATCCCTCATTTTAATCATACATTGTTTAAAATTTTCTAAAGTTATTTCTATTACTAATATAACAATACAATCTTATGTACCTTTACAGAATCCCTTTTTCAGTTAAATTTTCACCCATTATCTCTAAATAGGTCCTGTTTCTCTATATCTTGCTCCAGTCCTTTGTAACTTCTTTTCCTTTCCTTCTTCCCTCTCTTCTTCTCTCTCCCCTTTTTACCCCCTTGTCTCTCTACCTCTATTTCTCTCTTCTGTATTCCCCTTTTCTGTTGCTTTCCAGTATTATACTTATTTTTTGAATTATTTTTCTTTTCTTTGGTTGTTTTTTTAAGTCTTAAATTCTCCATTCTCTTTCTCCCCTTTCCTTTTTCTTCACCACATAAAATTACTTGTTCATTAAAGATGGCTTTTTCTTTGTCCCGGTCTTCTTGTTTTGCAGTCGTTTCTTGTTGTTTCACATAGTTCCAAATCTCCATTTCTGAGAATTGAAAAACGAAGCCAAAAAAACCCTTCATTTCTTGTGCATCTTCTTTGTACTTTTTAAGTTCCATTTTCAATTCATCTAGAAGTGATGCCATTGTATGAATTTTTAAACAACCACCCAATTAATTTTAGTCATTCAAATGTAATAACCAAGAATCCAACGATCACCAAATAATCCAAATACACACAGGCTGTTTCTTTTTGCTCTTTTTTTCACTTTCTCTTCCTGGGGTTACTGTTTAGTTACAAAGTTTCAGTCAAAATGTATCTTTTAGAAGTCTTATTGAAGTTTTACTGTAGATTCTTTTTAATTCCAGGCAGTCTTCTCCTTCTTCCAGATCCTGCTCTTATTCTTTTTCTCTCCCTTCCTGCTTATGAAAAAAAAATTTTAGTGTCCAGAAATCTTTATTATTCCTTTGACATTTTGTTTTATTTTCAGCTTAATTGCCTGTTGATGTCAAAGATTTTTCCGATTTCTTATTTAAGTCTCTTAGTTGTCAGTATAGGGAAGGGAAGAGGGGAAAAAATCAAACCTTTCCCTTTTCATTTCCTTCACTGCTTCCAACTCTTCTTTGGGAGCGATGTTATTTTTTTGTAAGTTTAAATTCCAGGGTACCTTAGTTGTTGCTTTTATAATTTAACCCAGTCAGCCAAAACTTTCACTTCTTATCTTCTTCCTGCACATTCTTTTCTGGTCGAGTTCTTCTTTGTGGTGGCCATTTCTGACCACCACTGCAACCGCCTTTGGGAAAGGGAGTAATGGCCAGCTGAGGAGGAGAGATGCGGCTCTCCTCAACCCTGCTGACAGTCTCCCTCTTCTTCACCACCTCTACGGGGTGGCTTAGCCCTGAAACCAGTTGGCTCAGGGCGTTCCAGTGGTGAGCCCAGCCCGAAACCACGCACAATTGCGGATTTCTGTCTGTCACCAAAGAGACTTCAAACCGGAAGCCGTATTTTGTATTTTCAATCTACATTTTCTGCCCTCTGCTGGTGGGCTCCACCACCAAGCCATACTTAGCATGATGCAGGTGAATGATTGACACCTTCCTGAGATTGTGTAATTCATGTGTCTCTGATCAAAATGAATTGTGGAGTATTGGGAGGGTTGGCACCAGGAGTGGGATTCTACAGGTTCGCACCTATTTGCTAGAACCGGTTGTTAACATTCTAAGCAGTTTGGAGAACCGGTTGTTAGAAGAAATTACTGGCCTAATCCTGTAAGGAAGGCAGGAAGGAAACATTCTGGTGTTCCTCACAGAAACTGCCTCTCCCTTGACCCTTATTACATTCTTGGCAGGACTGGACTTCCTATCTCAGGAACTTCTCTGGAGTTTTTTTTTTTCCTCCTTTGCTGGTACTTTGCTTGTGTGGAGTGACTATTCAAAGTTACAGTGGCACTGAAAAAAGTGACTTATGACCATTTTTCACACTTACAACTGTTGCAGCATCCCCACAGTCATGAGAGGCCGGGAGAGGAGATGAGTGCCTCGATGTGAGTGATGTTGAGTTGGCCACACCCAGCCAGTCACATGACCACCAAGCCATGCCCACCAACAAAGCCATGCCCACAGAACTGGTTGTTAAAAAATTTGAATTCCACCCCTGGTGGGCAAATCTGACTGGCAATCTTGGAAAGTACTCCCTGGTTTGTGTTATCAGATATTTGAACAAGCAAAGAAAGACAAAGACAATTAGAAAGCAGAATAAATGGAAGGAAACACAAACTGTTTAAATTTCTTGGCATCCACTATGAACATTACAGTAGAAAGCCACAGACAAAATGTACTTAGGCCTACATACAAAGATTTCTTTTACCAGCATTAGAAAGATTGTTTTTTTCAATTGCAGGAATGTGCCAGAGCCAGTTAAGAGGCAAAAGCCTTCAGTCTATAACTGATTAAGGTCTTGTCCTTTCATGCAGCAGGACAAGCTGGCTGGAGGCTACTAATCAACTAATTAAAGACTCAGAGCAGAGCTTGTTAACTTATGAGTAGCACTTAAGGAAGTGCTGCCCCACACAGAGAAAAGCTGCTCAGGCAAAGTAAGTTTGTTAGACACTAAAACATATGCACACACAGGTAGACAATATTTGATTTTAAGGCTATGCTTTCTGAAAGGAAGACATGAGGACAAAGAAGACATCTCCACCTTTTGCCAGAGGTCTGATAAACCTACCCTGGCATACTCTCAAGACCTGAGTACTTCAGTAGTAGTTTACTGCAGAGGTATCAAACTTGATTTCATTGAAAGCCACATCAGGGTTGTGTTTGACCTCAGGAGG